ACCCTTTTCCTGTAAAGATTACTAAAAAGAATAAGAAGAAGAAAATTGTCAAGTGGGAAGTTGAATGTGCGTGGATGTTGTGCGGGATGATAAGAAAGAGATGATTGGGGGATGTTATGAATGAGAAGAAGCTGGATGTCCTGGCTTTAAGTGAAACAAAGCTGAAGGGGGTGGGAGGGGGTTTCAGTGGAGAGGAATAAATGGGATTAGGTCAGGGGTTTTTAAATAGAGTTAGAGCTAAAGAAGGAGTAGCAATAATGTTGAAGGATAAGCTATGGCAGGAAAAAAAGGGACTATAAATGTATTAATTCAAGGATTATGTGGAGTAAATAAAGATTGGATGTGAAAGTGGGTTATAATAAGCGTGTATGCACCTGGAGAAGAAGAGAAAATGTAGAGGAGAGAGAGAGAGATTTTGGGAAATGTTGAGTGAATGCGTGGGGAGTTTTGAATCAAGTGTGAGAGTAATGGTGGTTGGGGATTTTAATGCTAAAAAGGGGTTAAAAAAAGTTATGGAGGGAGTTGAGGGAAATTTGGGGTGCCAGGGGTAAATGTAAATGGGGAGGGCCCTTTAAAATTGAGCTATGTGTAGAAAGAAATTTGGTAATAAGTAATACTATTTTATGAAAAAGAGGATAAATAAATATAAAAAGGTAAAGATGTAGCACGTAATGAAAGTAGTTTTTAGATTATGTATTGGTGGATAAAAGGTTGATGGGTAGGCTCCCGGATGTACATGTTTATAGAGGGGCAACTGATATATCGGATCAATTATTTAGTTGTAGCTACAGTTAGGAGTAAGAGGTAGATGGGAAAAGAGGAAGGTGGCAACAACAAGTAAGAGGGAAGTGAAAGTGTATAAACTAAGGGAGGAGGAAGTTCGGGTGAGATATAAGGACTATTGGCAGAAAGGTGGGCTAGTGCAAAGATGAGTAGTGGGGGGGTTGAAGGGGGGTTGGAATAGTTTTAAAAAAGCAGTATTAGAATGTGGGGCAGAAGTTTGTGGTTATAGGAGGGTGGGGCAGGGGGAAAAGAGGAGTGATTGGTGGAATGATGAAGAAAAGGGGTGTTGATAAAAAGAGAAAAAGGTAGCTTATGAGAGGTTTTTACAACCCAGAAGTGTTATAAGAAGAGCAGAGTATATGGAGAGTAAAAAAAAGGGTAAAGAGAGTGGTGAGAGAGTGCAAAAAGGAGAGCAGATGATAGAGTGGGAGAGGCACTGTCAAGAAATTTTAATGAAAAAAAAAAAGAAAAAAAAAATTTGGAGTGAGTTAAACAAGTTAAGAAAGCCTAGGGGAAAATATGGATTTGTCAGTTAAAAACAGAGTAGGGGAGTTAGTAGATGGGGAGATGGAGGTATTGGGTAGATGGCGAGAATATTTTGAGGAACTTTTAAATGTTAAGGAAGAAAAAAGGAGGCAGTAATTTCCCTGCATGGTCAGGGGGTATACCATCTTTTTTGGAGTGAAGAAGAGCATGAATGTAAAATGTGGGGGAGGTACGTGAGGCATTACGTAAAATGAAAGGGGGTAAAGCAGCTGGAACTGATGGGATCATGACAGAAATGTTAAAAGCAGGGGGGGGGGTATAGTGTTGGAAGTGGTTGGTACTTTTGTTTAATAAAGTATGAAAGGGGGGAAGGGTCCTGGGTTGGCAGAGAGATGTATAGTCCCTTTATATAAGGGAAGGGGACAAAAGAGACTGTAAAATTATAGAGGAAAAAGTTTATGAGTATCCGGGGGAAAAGGTCGGTAGGTTTAATTGAAAAAATTTAAGACAGATTAGGATTGGGGATAGCAAGGGGGTTTTGGTGGGGGGGGGATGTGTAGATCAGGTGTTTACATTAAAGCATATTGAACGGGATTTAGTAAAGATGGGAAGTTTTTATTGTTTTTGGATTTAAAAAAAGGCTATGATAGAGTGGATAGAGGGAATGTGGCAGATGTTGCAAGTATAGGGAATAGGTGGTAAGTTATTAAATGCTGTAAAAGTTTTTTTGAGGATAGGGGGGGTCGGTTGGGTGTGTAGAAGAGGGGAGACTCTTCCGGGGAAAAATAGGGCTTAGACAGGGAGTGTAAAGTCACCCTGGTTGTTTAATATATTTATAATGGGGTTGTAAAAGGAAATAAATGCTAGGGTTTTGGGAGAGGGGGGGATTAAATTTTTTGGGGGAATCAAATTCAAAAAAGGGGAAATTTAACAGTTACTTTTTTTTGGGTGAAACTGTGTTTTGGGATTCTAAAAAAAAATTGCAAAGGGTTTGTGGATGAGTTTGGGGAAAGTGTGTAAAATAGAAAGTTTTAAAGTGAAAAAAAAAAGAGAGGGTGATGAGGGTGTCAAAAGATTTAAAAAGAAAAATTGGATATCAAATTGGGGAGGGGGAGTTTGGGAAAAAGTGAATGTTTTCGATACTTGGGGGTTGACGTTCGGCGGAGGATTTATGAAGGATAGGGTTAATCATAGAAAATTGAGAGGGAAAAAAAAGGGAGTGGTGCGTTGAGGTATATGTGGAGTCAAAAAACGTTATTATGGAGGCAAAGAAGGGAAGTATGAAAGTATAGTAGTACCAAACTCTTATATGGGTGTGAAACTTGGGGGGTAAATGCAGCAGCGAGGAGACGGTTGGAGGCAGCGGAGATGTCCTGTTTAAGGGCAATGTGTGTGTAAATATTATGCAGAAAATTCGGAGTGTGGAAATTAGGAGAAGGTGTGGAGTTAATAAAAGTATTAGTCAGAGGGCAGAAGAGGGGTTGTTGAGGTGGTTTGGTCATTTAGAGAGAATGGTCACAGTTAAAATGACATGGAAAGCATATAAAATCTATAGGGGAAGGAAGGCGGGGTAGGGGTCGTCCTCGAAAGGGTTGGAGAGAGGGGGTAAAGGAGGTTTTGTGGGTAAGGGGCTTGGACTTCCAGCAAGCGTGCGTGAGCGTGTTAGATAGGAGTGAATGGAGACGAATGGTACTTGGGACTGACGATCTGTTGGAGTGTGAGCAGGGTAATATTTAGTGAAGGGATTCAGGGAAACCGTTATTTTCATATTAGTCGGACTTGAGTCCTGGAAATGGGAAGTACAATGCCTGCACTTTAAAGGAGGGTTTTGGATATTGGCAGTTTGGAGGATATGTTGTGTATCTTATATGTTTATGCTTCTAGACTGTTGTATTCTGAGCACCTCTGCAAAAACAGTGATAATGTGCGAGTGTGTGAAAGTGTTGAATGATGATGAAAAGTATTTTCTTTTTGGGGATTTTCTTTCTTTTTTTGGGTCACCCTGCCTCGGTGGGAGACGGGCCGACTTGTTGAAAAAAAAAAAAAAAAAAAAAAAAAAATATATAAATATATATATACTGTATATATATATACACACACACACACAGAAGAGATAGAGAGAAGAGAGAGAGGAGAAAGAAGACAGAGAAGGAGAGATGAAGAGAGAGAGAAGGAGAGAGAGAGAGAGAGAGAGAGAGAGGAAAGAGAAGAGAAGAGAGAGAGAGGAAAGAGAAGAGAAGAGAGAGAGGGAGAAGAGAAAAGAAGAGAGAGAGAATGAGAATCCTTAACCTGTAAAGAGCTCATCAATAAAGATAGGGATCCTTAACCTAACCTTGTCAAACCCTCTGTAAAAAAAAGAGAAGAGAGAGAGAGAGAGAGTATGCTCCACTTTCTTGGTTTGCCTGCCCCCTTTCTCATCTGTGACTGCTTGACAGAGTAGAGAACAGAGCAAAACGTCTCATCTCTCGCCTGGACCAATCCTGGATAGATCTGTTATTTCAGCAGACCCTTCAACACAGAAGGGATGTGTGTGGCCTTACTTTCGTGTACAAGGCCTATATTGTCAAAGTACCACACTTGGATCCACTTCGAGGACAGTGTGAAGCAAGCTTTTGTTCCACAAGACGGGCAGAAATCAGCAACTTCACTCTGGCTGTACCCTTCTCCAGAACATCACTTCATCTGAGATCATTTATCCCCAGGATGACTCGAGTATGGAACACATTTATACAGCATTATGATGTCAACGAGATAAAGTCAGTTGATCAGATGAAAGTGCTGGCCCACAGATGGCTCCAACTTCATCCTGTTCCCTACTTGTATGTTTCATAACAATAAAAATGCTTTCAAATGAGCTGATGTAGGTAACAGCTCTTAGCTTGTCAATAAAGTTAGGAATCCTTAACCTGTAAATAGCTTGTCAATAAAGCTAGGGATCCTTAACCTAACCTTGTCAAACCCTGTGTGTGAGAGAGAGAGAGAGAGAGAGAGAGAGAGAGAGAGGAAAGAGAGAGGAGAAGAGAGAGAGAGAGAGAAGAGAGAGAGAGAGAAAAAGAGAGAGAGAGAGAGAGAGAAGAGAGAGAAGAGAGAAGAGAAGAGATGATGTAGGTAACAGCTCTTAGCTTGCCAATAAAGTTAGGAATCCTTAACCTGTAAATAGCTTGTCAATAAAGCTAGGGATCCTTAACCTAACCTTGTCAAATCCTGTTAAAAAAAAAAAAAAAAAAAAAAAAGATATGGATGTAGTTGTTACTGTGATGATTATATGCCTACTGAGTCACCAGATCATTAGTGCAGAAATAATTTCATTCTGCCATCCTTAGACATTTCTGACACTTCTCTCTCATTTTTGTCACTGAAGAGCATGTTTCAGCTGCAGTGAAAGTTGTAGTGAGCTGATTTGCATATTTGCTACTTCGAATAAGAAGTAAGAGTTTTATCCAGATCTTTCCCCTCAAGGAAGGTTCCTTGATGTTGGTGAGGGGCTCTTGATTTAGGGAATTGGATCTGTGCTCCAGTTCCCCGAATTAAGCCTGAATGCCTTCCACATCCCCCCCCAGGCGCTGTATAATCCTCCGGGTTTAGCGCTTCCCTCTTGATTATAATAATAATAATATCCAGATCTTTAAGAATTATAGTCACATAAACATTTTGTGTAAATTGTTACATTAATAAATCTTATTACTAAGCAGGTATTATTGAGATTGTCTGATAAATGTCATGATCATCAGGAAATGCTAGAGGTGGGTGTCCATCACCAGTTGTGAGCAGCCCCATCAGACGAGCATGGTTTTATGAAGTATTAGTGGTGGCAGTAGGTGTTGGGGACAGAGTGCTGAACTTGCCTTGTGCCAAGTACAATACAGACAAGAGCATTGTGGACTCAGGAACATCTAATCTGCGATTACCCTCTCAGGTACATACATGCATTGGAATCTTTAATTTTAGTCCATAATATTTTCTCCTAGTTTGCTTTAAAGGACTTAACCTAGCAAGTACAGTACTGTTCATAGAGTTATAAATATTTATATTTACTCTCTTTTTACATTAACCTCCTTAACTGTCCAAACATAGATCTACGTTCTTACTGCTAGCACCCCAAACCTCGATCTGTGTTTCATTTTTCCTGCCTTGAAATTTGGCACAATTGGCCTGAGATGCCTGGTTAGCATAGAATGGGTCTTAACACTTGGTGTGCGCAGTATTAAAAAAATCTGGGACCACTTAGTACCTTGTGGAAGCACCAGTTCAATTGAGCGGCAGCTAGAGCAAACAGTGTGACGAACACCTGGGATTCAATGATGTCATGTAGTATTAAGACTCCCATTTTAAGAGGAAGGTGATTTTAACCCCAAGTTTAGTGGCTTTGAGGTGGATGTTGCCACAAGTGTTCGAGGAGACGTCAAAAACCTCGATAATAACCCATGTGCAACAATTGTGCAGCACCCTTTCAGTTTTTGGTATCACTGGTAGTGTCATCCTGCCAGAATGTCTTATAACCTATGCCCTAAGTAAAGAGAAATAATTTCTGGAATGTGCAATACATGTTTGGCAGGCAGGCTGGCTTGGCTGGCTGATTGACTTTGGCTGTCTCTATCTCTGTCAGTCTGTCTGTATCTATATCTGTCTCTGTTTCACAAGTACACATAAAATACAATTATGCATAGTGTAAATTACCTAGGATAACTCAAAAAATCCAGACAGTGCTATACTGTGCTTATATATATAGTGCATAGTAAGCATGACTGGCAAGTAATAAGTATTTACACTTGCTCAGCAGTCACACATGACAACTGCGTTGTGTGTGATACCTGTTGGTTCATGAGTGGCTCTCACTGAGACAGAGAGAGAGACAAGCTGAGAGAGAGACAGGAAGACAGATAAGCAGAGACAGAGATAAACAGAGAGCTAGATAGACAGGAGCTAGACAGACAGATAGACAGAGAGCTAGACAAACAGACATTTTTATGTGTAACAGTGAAAACAGATAAAGCCGAGGCACTGCATGCTCATCAAATGTCACCACTGCTGCACTGTCAGGTGGAGTGACACTCGTCTTACACCATGCTTTAAGGAAGCTTATTATTATTATTATTATGATGATGATTATTATTATTATATACTCCCATATATCCAAAACATTGCTGGGACCTATAAATGTTATGTATATATTTCTAGACAATAGTATATGACTAAGGTATGTGAAAATGTTCACCTGTCACTGTGCTTGTGACTATTTGAGTACTATTTCAGTACCTAATATTAGTGTCAGAACAAAGATTAGCTATGAAATCACAAGAACTACTACAAATTGTAATTATCAGAACATAAAAATTACACAAATTAAAAAAAATTGAAGAAAAATGATACAGTAGACCCTTGGGTAAAGGTGTCATTGGCTAGTGCCAAAATCAGCTATCAGCTCGCTTTGGCGTAAAAATATTGGCTCAGCTAACGCCAAATAACTCGGCTAAGGGCTTTCATCCTGAATGTGTCTGCGCGGCCTGAGCGGGCGCAGTCACTCCATACTCCTTGTACAGCCAGTGTGCCATTGTATACAAAACCAGTGGGGACGATTCCATGCATACATGCGATATATTTTGTATTATTCCATTGTTTTTAGTGCATGTTGGTAGACAGCAACCACCCAGGGAGGTACTACCGTTCTGCCAAGTGAGTGTAAAACGAAAGCCTGTAATTGTTTTACATGATGGTAGGATTGCTGGTGTCTTTTGTCTGTCTCATAAATATGCAAGATTACAGGTATGTCTTGCTACTTCTACTTACACTTAGGTCACACTACACATACATGTACACGTTTATTTATACACACTCATCTGAATTTTCTTTGATTTTATCTTAATAGTTTTTGATCTTATTACTTTTCCTTTTATATCCATGGGGAAGTGGAATAAGAATCTTTCCTCGTAAGCCATGCATGTTGTAAAAGTCAACTAAAATGCCAGGAACAATGGGCTAGTAACCCCTTTTCCTGTAAAGATTACTAAAAAGAATAAGAAGAAGACAATTGTCAAAGTGGGAAGTCTGAATGTGCGTGGATGTTGTGCAAATGATAAGAAAGAGATGATTGTGGATGTTATGAATGAGAAGAAGCTGGATGTCCTGGCTTTAAGTGAAACAAAGCTGAAGGGGGTGGGAGAGTTTCAATGGAGAGGAATAAATGGGATTAGGTCAGGGGTTTCAAATAGAGTTAGAGCTAAAGAAGGAGTAGCAATAATATTGAAGGATAAGCTATGGGAGGAAAAGAGGGACTATAAATGTATTAATTCAAGGATTATGTGGAGTAAAATGAAGATTGGATGTGAAAAGTGGGTTATAATAAGCGTGTATGCACCTGGAGAAGAGAGAAGTGTAGAGGAGAGAGAGAGTTTTGGGAAATGTTGAGTGAATGCGTGGGGAGTTTTGAATCAAGTGTGAGAGTAATGGTGGTTGGGGATTTCAATGCTAAAGTGGGTAAAAATGTTATGGAGGGAGTAGTAGGTAAATTTGGGGTGCCACGGGTAAATGTAAATGGGGAGCCTTTAATTGAGCTATGTGTAGAAAGAGATTTGGTAATAAGTTATACATATTTTATGAAAAAGAGGATAAATAAATATACAAGGTATGATGTAGCACGTAATGAAAGTAGTTTATTAGATTATGTATTGGTGGATAAAAGGTTGATGGGTAGGCTCCAGGATGTACATGTTTATAGAGGGGCAACTGATATATCGGATCATTATTTAGTTGTAGCTACAGTTAGAGTAAAAAGTAGATGGGAAAAGAGGAAGGTGGCCAACAACTAAGAGGGAGGTGAAAGTGTATAAACTAAGGGAGGAGGAAGTTCGTGTGAGATATAAGCGACTATTGGCAGAAAGGTGGGCTAGTGCAAAGATGAGTAGTGGGGGGGTTGAAGAGAATTGGAATAGTTTTAAAAATGCAGTATTAGAATGTGGGGCAGAAGTTTGTGGTTATAGGAGGGTGGGGGCAGGAGGAAAGAGGAGTGATTGGTGGAATGATGAAGTAAAGGGTGTGATAAAAGAGAAAAAGGTAGCTTATGAGAGGTTTTTACAAAGCACAAGTGTTATAAGAAGAGCAGAGTATATGGAGAGTAAAAGAAAGGTGAAGAGAGTGGCGAGAGAGTGCAAAAGGAGAGCAGATGATAGAGTGGGAGAGGCACTGTCAAGAAATTTTAATGAAAATAAGAAAAAAATTTTGGAGTGAGTTAAACAAGTTAAGAAAGCCTAGGGAAAGTATGGATTTGTCAGTTAAAAACAGAGTAGGGGAGTTAGTAGATGGGAAGATGGAGGTATTAGGTAGATGGCGAGAATATTTTGAGGAATTTTTAAATGTTGAGGAAGAAAGAGAGGCAGTAATTTCATGCATTGGTCAGGCAGGTATACCATCTTTTAGGAGTGGAGAAGAGCAGAATGTAAGTGTGGGGGAGGTACATGAGGCATTACGTAAAATGAAAGGGGGTAAAGCAGCTGGAACTGATGGGATCATGACAGAAATGTTAAAAGCAGGGGGGGATATAGTGGTGGAGTGGTTGGTACTTTTGTTTAATAAATGTATGAAAGAGGGGAAGGTACCTAGGGATTGGTGGAGAGCATGTATAGTCCCTTTATATAAAGGGAAAGGGGACAAAAGAGATTGTAAAAATTATAGAGGAATAAGTTTACTTAGTATACCAGGAAAAGTGTACGGTAGGGTTATAATTGAAAGAATTAGAGGTAAGACAGAATGTAGGATTGTGGATGAGCAAGGAGGTTTCAGAGTGGATAGGGGATGTGTAGATCAAGTGTTTACATTGAAGCATATATGTGAACAGTATTTAGATAAAGGTAGGGAAGTTTTTATTGCATTTATGGATTTAGAAAAGGCATATGATAGAGTGGATAGAAGAGCAATGTGGCAGATGTTGCAAGTACATATATGGAATAGGTGGTAAGTTATTAAATGCTGTAAAGAGTTTTTATGAGGATAGTGAGGCTCAGGTTAGGGTGTGTAGAAGAGAGGGAGACTACTTCCTGGTAAAAGTAGGTCTTAGACAGGGATGTGTAATGTCACCATGGTTGTTTAATTATTTTATAGATGGGGTTGTAAAGGAAGTAAATGCTAGGGTGTTTGGGAGAGGGGTGGATTAAATTTTGGGGAATCAAATTCAAAATGGGAATTGACACAGTTACTTTTTGCTGATGATACTGTGCTTATGGAGATTCTAAAGAAAAATTGCAAAGGTTAGTGGATGAGTTTGGAATGTGTGTAAAGGTAGAAAGTTGAAAGTGAACATAGAAAAGAGTAAGGTGATGAGGGTATCATATGATTTAGATAAAGAAAATTGGATATCAAATTGGGGAGGAGGAGTATGGAAGAAGTGAATGTTTTCAGATACTTGGGAGTTGACATGTCGGTGGATGGATTTATGAAGGATGAGGTTAATCATAGAATTGATGAGGGAAAAAGGTGAGTGGTGCGTTGAGGTATATGTGGAGTCAAAAACGTTATCTTTTGGAGGCAAAGAAGGGAATGTATGAAAGTATAGTAGTACCAACACTCTTATATGGGTGTGAAGCTTGGGTGGTAAATGTAGCGGCGAGGAGACGGTTGGAGGCAGTGCAGATGTCCTGTTTAAGGGCAATGTGTGGTGTAAATATTATGCAGAAAATTCGGAGTGTGGAAATTAGGAAAAGGTGTGGAGTTAATAAAAGTATTAGTCAGAGGGCAGAAGAGGGGTTGTTGGTTTGGTCATTTAGAGAGAATGGATCAAAGTAGAATGACATGGAAAGCATATAAATCTATAGGGGAAGGAAGGCAGGGTAGGGGTCGTTCTCGAAAGGGTTGGAGAGAGGGGGTAAAGGAGGTTTTGTGGGCGAGGGGCTTGGACTTCCAGCAAGCGTGAGTGAGCGTATTAGA